TTTTATGATTTCCACCATTTCTTCACTTGATTTCTTTAATTCCTTTTTGTTGTTGTCCTTAGAGATTCAATCTTTTTGTCTCTTTCTCTCATTCTTCCAACTTCTAAAATTAGGTCTTCCCACTTGTATTTATGGTGTTTTATAGTTTAGGAACGAATTAGGGTTGAATTGGACTAAGTCTCATAAAAAAAATGCTTTTTTTATTTTTACCCGGCGCCGTGGCGCCGCCTTCTTGTCACTGGCGCCGCGGCGCCAGTTCCTCTATTCCGTTTTTTGTTTTGCACGTCTTTCAGTATGTTTATCATAAATTTTTTGTCTGATGTTCAATTGAGGTGATTCATGATCCGTTGGAAAGCTAACTCATCTGGCTACAATTTTGATTCAGATATCATTCTCCAATTCGATCGTTTTCTATGTCTAAAGTGAGTCTTGAGACTAAAAATCTGTAACAAAACTTTTTCTGTTGGAATTTGATGTGTGATCATATTTTGACTAAATTTGATCCCTTTGACATCTTTCCTCATCCAATTGGACCTTTACACTCTCAAATCTTCATCATGAGGATCAGCACAATTTTTAAGTGTTTGCACTTTAGTCCCTGAACTTTGGATCTCTTACAATTTAGTCATTTCTCCAAATTTGTCAACTTTTGCTTATGTTATTCAATCTCACCAACTTACATCACAATATCAAAATACACATAAAAACACTCTAAAATTATCTCAATGGTAACAAAATAATGAATTAAGTGGCATAAATAACATGAGTGTGGAGCACTCATCAAATACCCCCAAACTTAATTAGTGGCATAAATATTATGAGTGTGGAACACTCATCAACGGTGATATGAGGCGGTGCCCACCGTTTTTGTCGACCAATTCTAATACTTAATGGAGAAGCAAAATTGCTTCTTATCCAATTGATTTCTTTGACCAACAAAAGTGGGTTTATCGCCGCACTTAACTCCTTTATAAAGTTTGGGTACCAACTATCTACTTTGGAAATAAGTTGGGGGACGCACTGCAATTTTCTCTACTTATTGGGGATTGCAATTTTTACCACCAATTCATTGATGCTTGGTTCTTTAATACTTCATACCGATTATCTTTCTTGCTTACTTTGTGGGTCCAGTGATATCCTATGTTTTCTTGGAGTAATTCTAAAGCTATGAAAATAGAGGATATAGATTTCCGTTCGAGAAAATGGGAGGAAATGGATAATGATGTTTTTGTCAAGATATTCCAGTGTTTTGACATCTTTGGTTTGACCTCTGGGATTGGTCATGTTTGTAACACGTGGCGTTTGGCAACTTGTGATCCATTACTCTGGAAGACGCTCAATTTATCAATGCTAAAATCGAGCTTTATTAAAACCTCATCAGAACCCTATGTATACGTGGGCGGTCCGTCTGATGAAACACTGACCCGAGCTTGAAGATTACATTAAGTCTCAGCCATGGGAACATAACGACCTTGATTTTCCATTATAACCTATTTGTCAGCAACGACCAATTGACTTATACATCAGAGAGGTATGTCTAGAGAAATACTGTCTTTTAATGTACTTAATTTCATCTTTGTAGTTATGTGTACACTTCTATAGAATTAGATCGCACCGAACAATATTGAACAAAAAGAAGCAAAAAATCACTTTTCTTATATTGTGCAGTATTGAGTACTTCTTGCTAGTTGATCATAAGAATACCTTGACACTGCAAGTGCCCAAATCTGAAGCGTCTAGTTATGCCTGCATAGAACAGAATAAAGAAGACTGGAATATGTAAAGCTATTTGCATGTGGGAAGACCTTGAGTCATTGACAATGCCTAGCATATCGAACACTCCATATCTAATCGAGGAAATTGCCAAAAATTGCAAGAAATTTGCCGAACTGAAGATCACGGGACCATGTCACATTAAATTTGCATTGACACTCGCTGCATTCCTCCCAAACTTAAAAGTCTTGAGCATTCGGTGCTCTATGATATATAAGGATGCCCTTATCACTATCTTGGATGAGTTGAAAAAGTTGGAAGTACTAAACATATCTCACTGCGTACTGATTGAACACCCTCCACCTTCACCTCGAAGAGTCCTCAAGGAGATTGACGAATCAATTCTTCATAAGGCTAGGAGGCTGCACAAATTTATAACGTGCACAAGTGACTCGTGCTTGATGTGCACGCGTACGAGGAACGACGGAGGAATGACGAGGTGGTAAAAGTATGAAGCAGATTTCTGGAAATTAGATGAAGTGAAATCTCTTGCAATTTGAATAAGTTGTTTGGAAATTGTTAAAAGTATTCTTTATACCAATTTTAGAATTCTAAAAAATTGTTTTGCTGATTAGTGATAAATAGAAGTCATCCTTAGGAGACAGGAAAAGGCTTTACATTTTCGTTTACTTGCTTTATGTAGAGTTTGCCTACTAATGCTTAATATACTAAGGGGCTTTCAGATTTGAGGTGTTATGCTTGTTTTTTTATTCTTTGATTTACTCATTCCTTTAGGGAAAATATTGTTTTTACATCACACGTTACAGAAAGTTTTTATAGCATTTTTTCATTCAATTTCACAGGAAAATGTTGTTTGCACATCACGCGTTACGGAAAGTTTTTATGGCATTTTTCCATTCAATTTCTCATTATCAAAATCTCGCCTAGTAAAGAAATCTCCAAAAAAAAATTCCCTTAACCCCACTTTACAGAAGAAATGGCAGATTCAAATTTTTCTTCTTCATTCTTCGTCACAATCTCACCCAACAATAATCAACGCCGGTGACATCTGGCTGATTTTTGACAAAGTTATTTTTTTGGTTGAACAATGGGAAAATTTGAAATATGTTCCATTTTTGTAAATCCATTTTATTTTTTTACAAGTTGTTGTATCTATTCTGAAGATCGGATTGATTTATTTTACTTATATCTGCAATTACTTTTCGATTCCATTTCATTATTTAAATGACTAAAGATTTCTATTAAATTCACAATCAACATGGTGGAAACCTCTACTGTGACTAACATATATGAACAAAGTATTTAGGGTCATGAATTGAAGGATTTATTAGATGAAACCTTCTGTATATCAACCAATGGCACAATTCTGGTGGAGGAACCATTTCTAGTTGAGGTAGGAAAAAAGAATTTCACGCTCTCTTCCTTTCAGGAATGGAGGATTAAGAAAATTCTCTTGATTGCAGATTTTCTTTTGAAAAGCAGAAAAAAAGGCTTGAGAATTATATCCGCACGCACCTCATACTTATTAACCATCTATGCTTAGTGTTTGGAAAAACGATTTCAATTTCATTTTGCATAGCCTCGATCTTGATTTGTAATAATTTCATTTTTCATGGGGAGCTTAATCATGCATGCATTGAAGCTATGTCTTGAATGGCCAAACAAAGTATTTGTATACTCATACGAAGCCAAACCACATACAAGTTGTTGATTGCTCATGATGGTTCTGATGAGGACATATTTTCCTAGCTTTGTTTTGAGCTATTTATGTTTATGCCTTGTTTAGTTTAAATTGGGTTGTATTAATTGGCTGACCCAATGCCCTTTTACTTTAGGGTTTGTTTTCTCTATAAGTTGGTGTGTAATGTACCTTGGCAAGAATAGATGATGAAAGAATGAAATGAATTGTGGCTTGCTGCCAACATTTTCTCATTCTCCCTGTTCTTTTTCTTTCGCTTCTGCTAACNGTTCACTCATATTGGGAAGTGAAGAATTCATATTATTATATTCGAAGTCGGTAAATCGTTATTTTATCTTCTCAAATCAGATTTCGGTAAGTCGAATGATGTTTCGATTTCACGCATATTAACGGCATGCTCTTGATGAATATAATATGCACATCATCGGTGTAATATCTCCTACAATGTGTACACTTCTATAGAATTAGATCGCACCGAACAATATTGAACAAAAAGAAGCAAAAAATCACGTTTCTTATATTGTGCAGTATTGAATACTTCTTGCTAGTTGATCATAAGAATACCTTGATACTGCAAGTGCCCAAATCTGAAGCGTCTAGTTATGCCTGCATAGAACAGAATAAAGAAGACTGGAATATGTAAAGCTATTTGCATGTGGGAAGACCTTGAGTCATTGACAATGCCTAGCATATCGAACACTCCATATCTAATCGAGGAAATTGCCAAAAATTGCAAGAAATTTGCCGAACTGAAGATCACGGGACCATGTCACATTAAATTTGCATTGACACTCGCTGCATTCCTCCCAAACTTAAAAGTCTTGAGCATTCGGTGCTCTATGATATATAAGGATGCCCTTATCACTATCTTGGATGAGTTGAAAAAGTTGGAAGTACTAAACATATCTCACTGCGTACTGATTGAACACCCTCCACCTTCACCTCGAAGAGTCCTCAAGGAGATTGACGAATCAATTCTTCATAAGGCTAGGAGGCTACACAAATTTATAACGTGCACAAGTGACTCGTGCTTGATGTGCACGCGTACGAGGAACGACGGAGGAATGACGAGGTGGTAAAAGTATGAAGCAGATTTCTGGAAATTAGATGAAGTGAAATCTCTTGCAATTTGAATAATTTGTTTGGAAATTGTTAAAAGTATTCTTTATACCAATTTTAGAATTCTAAAAAATTGTTTTGCTGATTAGTGATAAATAGAAGTCATCCTTAGGAGACAGGAAAAGGCTTTACATTTTCGTTTACTTGCTTTATGTAGAGTTTGCCTACTAATGCTTAATATACTAAGGGGCTTTCAGATTTGAGGTGTTATGCTTGTTTTTTTATTCTTTGATTTACTCATTCCTTTAGGGAAAATATTGTTTTTACATCACACGTTACAGAAAGTTTTTATAGCATTTTTTCATTCAATTTCACAGGAAAATGTTGTTTGCACATCACGCGTTACGGAAAGTTTTTATGGCATTTTTCCATTCAATTTCTCATTATCAAAATCTCGCCTAGTAAAGAAATCTCCAAAAAAAAATTCCCTTAACCCCACTTTACAGAAGAAATGGCAGATTCAAATTTTTCTTCTTCATTCTTCGTCACAATCTCACCCAACAATAATCAACGCCGGTGACATCTGGCTGATTTTTGACAAAGTTATTTTTTTGGTTGAACAATGGGAAAATTTGAAATATGTTCCATTTTTGTAAATCCATTTTATTTTTTTACAAGTTGTTGTATCTATTCTGAAGATCGGATTGATTTATTTTACTTATATCTGCAATTACTTTTCGATTCCATTTCATTATTTAAATGACTAAAGATTTCTATTAAATTCACAATCAACATGGTGGAAACCTCTACTGTGACTAACATATATGAACAAAGTATTTAGGGTCATGAATTGAAGGATTTATTAGATGAAACCTTCTGTATATCAACCAATGGCACAATTCTGGTGGAGGAACCATTTCTAGTTGAGGTAGGAAAAAAGAATTTCACGCTCTCTTCCTTTCAGGAATGGAGGATTAAGAAAATTCTCTTGATTGCAGATTTTCTTTTGAAAAGCAGAAAAAAAGGCTTGAGAATTATATCCGCACGCACCTCATACTTATTAACCATCTATGCTTAGTGTTTGGAAAAACGATTTCAATTTCATTTTGCATAGCCTCGATCTTGATTTGTAATAATTTCATTTTTCATGGGGAGCTTAATCATGCATGCATTGAAGCTATGTCTTGAATGGCCAAACAAAGTATTTGTATACTCATACGAAGCCAAACCACATACAAGTTGTTGATTGCTCATGATGGTTCTGATGAGGACATATTTTCCTAGCTTTGTTTTGAGCTATTTATGTTTATGCCTTGTTTAGTTTAAATTGGGTTGTATTAATTGGCTGACCCAATGCCCTTTTACTTTAGGGTTTGTTTTCTCTATAAGTTGGTGTGTAATGTACCTTGGCAAGAATAGATGATGAAAGAATGAAATGAATTGTGGCTTGCTGCCAACATTTTCTCATTCTCCCTGTTCTTTTTCTTTCGCTTCTGCTAACCCCTTCTCTTGTTTCTGCCTCTGATTTCTTCCTGTCCCGATTCCTCTTATTTTTTCCTTTCTTTTTCTTCTACTGTTGTTCTTCTCTGTAGATTGGTTTCTCTTTCTTTGCTGACTATTTCCATTGATATTACGGACTGATTTGTCTTTCTCTACAGAATATTTCCATTGATACTACACTAGGTTCATTCCAACAAAGGAAGTGAAAGACATATTGTACTTTTTAGTCAAGTAAATAGCGTCAAAAGTGACTACATCACCAATTTTTTTTACGCTTGTCTACACCTATTATTTGCCTAAAACACGTTCTTCAACTGAACTCTTCTTGCAAGTCCATGCTAAAAGAAAAACCATGACTTCTTGTTTCCATTTTTGAAAAATACGCTTTCACTGCAATAGCGTCTCCTTCCCTAAATCTTAAGTGTTTCACAATTAAACTTATGACCTTCTGAACTTACTAAGACCATTCCTGCTCCAGAGCCTGCCTCTCCCGATGAGCCATGGATGAAGAGGCTCCAAGTTGGGGGCTCAGTGGGTTCTATTGTCTCCTCTATTTCAAGGATGTCTATAAATTATGCTACAAAGTCTACAAGAGCTTAACCATTGATGGAAGTTATTGACTTGGCAACGTCAAACTCACTTAGCTCTACAACCTACTTCATTAGGCTCCAAAACGCATCTGGCTTCTGGAGCACCTGTTTATGTGGAAAGATTGTTAGCATATATATGCTATAAGCTTGAAAGTACGACCTCGACTTTCTAGAGTGGTAATATGGGAGAGGACGAGCTTTTCCATATCTAGGTAATAGGCCTATGATTGTAGAAGAGCTTTACTCACATACTATATAGGCAATTGATAGATGCCTTACTTTATTCCAAGAACTAAGCTAATGGCCTCTTTGGATACTAACAAATATAATAGTAAGGACTCCTCATCCTTGGGCTTGGAAAGAAGGGGGCCCAATCGAGGCGTTTCTTTAATTCTTGGAAGGCCTCTTCACATTCCCCTGTCCATTGAAACTCCTTATATACCTCATTTGAGAATTTTGAAGAAGGAAAAGCATTTATCGTTCGCTTATAAGATGAAGTAACTCAGGGCTGCCACCTGCCTGGTGAGGGTCTACACCTCCTTTGGCATCTGATGTGACCTTATCTCTATCAAGGCTTTGATATTTTACAATGTTGGCCTCAAATACCTCTCTAGTTGACAATGTAACGTAGAAACTTTTAGAAGGTGACGTCGAAGGCGCACTTAAGGGGGTTCAACCTCATCATATACCTCCTCTATATTTGGAAAGTAACATCTAGGTGCTTGACGTAGTCTTTTATTTTGAAGCTTTTGACGAGCATGTCTTCCATGTATACCTCCATGGTTTTTCCAATGAGGTCCGCAAATATTTTATTAACGAGCCTCTGATAGGTGGCTTCGATATTTTTCAACACAAATAGCATTACCTTATAGCAATAGAGGTATTTATCAGTGATGAAAGATGTATTTTCTTCATTTGTGAGGTCATGGGGATATGGTTGTAGCTCAAATAGACGTCCATGAAACTCAATAACTCATGCTCTGTAATGGCATCCACAAGTTGATCTATCCATAGGAGAGGAAAGCTGTCCTTTTGGCAAGCTTCATTGAAGTTGGAGAAATTTATACACTCTCCTTGTCACTATGCTTCTTCACGGGGATTGGATTGGAGATCCACATTGGATATAGGGCTTTTCTAAAGAAGCTATTGGTTACCAACTTTTCAACCTTCTCATTTGGGGGCTTCATACCTCTTTCTCTTTAGGTAGGGTTTTTGGCTTTTACATGTACAGGGAGAATTTAGGATTAATTTTGAGGTCGTGGCAACTCACTTTTGGGTCAATGCCAACCATATCTTTATGCTTCCAAGCGACGATATCTAATTTCTTGCGTAAGAAGTTCTTGATCTTTTCCTTCGCTTCTTGAGGTAGATCTTTTCCCACATGTAATGACTTAGTGGATTTCTAGGATCTATAGGGAATCTCTTCAGCTCTTCTACTAGGGCTGTATGTGAATTAGACTTGATGATGCGAGGGTCTAACTTATCATATATAGTCATTTCTTCAAAGATCTTCCTTTCTTCAGGGTCATCTATCATCTGACATCTTTCCTTTGTTCAGAGGTCTGTCCTTCCTTAATAACGTTGATCATTTCGATGTCCACTAACACTATGTTGAAATCATGGGGATGCTTCCTTAAGGAGTTCACGTAACATTCCCTATCCCCTATTTGGTTATTTCTAACGGTTGCAATGCCATGCTCCATGAGAAACTTCACTCACAAGTGATGTATGGAAGTGACAGTCTATGATTCCTTCAACGCTGGTCTTTCCAATACTTTGTGATAAATTGACATGTTGTCTACTACGAGGAATTCTATGTAATGGCAAGCCATTTAGAAAGATGCTCCCATCTCTACTGCAAGAGCAATATTTCCTCTTGGGATGCTATTATCACCATTTAATCCATATAATGGGGAGATAATGATGATCAATTCATGATCTACTATTATCTTGTCGTACGTGGATCCAGAAATGATGTTAATGGAGCTTTCATTGTCTACCAGCATACGCTTCAACCCATTGTACGCTGCAATATCCTCCTTACCATTAGGGCGTCACAATGGGGATAGTTCAAACCTGCCATATCCACCAGGGTGAAAATTATGGGCTCAACAGTCCTTGTCCCCTAGTGTGGTTGTTGACTATGTAGTTGGCCATTGGGGAAATTCTTAACCTCTCTTGTATAGTTTCTCTAAGCATTTTTAGACTTATCGCCCACATAAGGACCCCTACAAATGGTATCTATCTCTTGGATGGGTACATTGTCCATATCCGCCAGAGGTTCTATCTTTATCTTGGCCCTTATCTAGGCTATGATCCTCGAATCAATGCTGCAATACTATACATTACCTCTCCTTGTCTATGGTGGGTTGATCTTTTTCATGGGAGGTCGGCGACTTCGTTACCTCGACTACAATATCCTCGAATCAATGCTGCAATACTCTACATTACCTCTCCTTGTCTATGGTGGTTTGATCTTTTTCATGGGAGGTCGGCGAGTTCGTTACCTCGACTACAAAGGTCTCAGCTAGGCCAACTAGGATGGTGATGCAGAGTGCGGGCTTTAGTTTTCTTGTGGCGTAGCTGCCATGTGGCTATTCTTGGAGTCTCACTAGATGAGATGTAACAAAACCTACTGAAGATGTTCAATTGGAGAGTGCCGCAAAGGAACTTGTGAAAATGTGAATCAAACTCATGTTGAGAATTTCGGGTCCGTTTGATTGCAAAGTTGGAAAATGGGTGGAAAGAAAATGTTTTACAGGGAATTGATTTTCCTAGAAAATGTTTTACTAGGAATTGTAATTAATTGTGTTTGATTGGTAAAATTTTCTATGGAAAATGTAGAAAGTTTTATATCCATTTGACTTCATTTTTTATGGATTTTGTCCATTAAAGTGATAATTTTTTCTACCATCGGGTCTAAAATTTGTTCCAATTGTAAAAAAAATTTGAAAAAAATATCCTCGAATCAATGCTGCAATACTTTACATTACCTCTCCTTGTCTATGGTGGTTTGATCTTTTTCATGGGAGGTCGGCGACTTCGTTACCTCGACTACAAAGGTCTCAGCTAGGCCAACTAGGATGGTGATGCAGAGTGCGGGCTTTAGTTTCCTTGTGGCGTAGCTGCCATGTGGCTATTCTTGGAGTCTCACTAGATGAGGTGTAACAAAACCTACTGAAGATGTTCAATTGGAGAGTGCCGCAAAGGAACTTGTGAAAATGTGAATCAAACCCATGTTGAGAATTTATATCGAAAGCGAAAGAACGGTTGAAACTACGCAAAACTTCACGTGGGTTTTTATTATATTTTTATCCCAAAATAATGACAAGCACCAAACTAATAACCTAGGAGTGACAATTTTCATGGAAATTCCTTATACTATAATTTTTGCCTGCCTTGATTCATAATCTTTAGTGTACTATACTCGCATAATCAACTTGTTTGAACTTCTAATTTGCTGTGTTAATTAAATAGTTATGAGGGCTTATTTTCCATGTTACAATGATTTTGCTTATATTGTGACTTTAATGGAAATTGTGATAAACGCAATCCTTAATAATCTCACTTTTGTCCTTCCCAACATATCAGATCGTATTCAAAAATAAAAAAAAATATTTAAAATTTGTTTATCTATAATCTATAATATATTAAATATTACATCAAATTATAATAATTTTTTGAACGATTTTAACCTTGCCTAATTCAATTATTTCAATAATACCTTATTTTTAGTTTTTCAATATAATAAATATTACAAAAATCATTGTCTTGTATGAATTTCGTATTATTAATTCTCAATTAATTAATATTTATATTACTCTAAACTTAATGAATCTCGACTTAATGAATCTTGATATATATGAATCTAGAATTATTATAGATGAATTTGTTTTTATTCGTACATCTAAGAATTTTAATACATGTTTAAATTCATGTATTAGCAATTAATTTTCACGTACAAATGTAGCATAAAAATGTTGCTCATTTGTAGTATTTCATCATCATAAAAAAATTGAATAATAGAAATTGAATTTTGAAAGTGCAATTTTTTTCTCTTAAATTTTTATCCGAAATTTTATTTTCTTTAATCCGTTTGAGAGTCATCAAATTCTTCTAACAAATTGGTATCAAATATTATTTTTACAGCACTTAATAAACTATTTCAGAATAACGTGCAATGCATGTTACTAATATATTAAATAGTACATGATGTGAGAATCATTTTTAGACGATTTTAACTTTATTACAATTCAATTATTTCAATAATATCTTACTTTTATTTTTCAATATATAGTAAATACTACAAAATTTTTATCATGTATGAATTCCCTGTTATTAATTCTCTTAATTAACATTCACATTAATCTAGACTCAATGGATCTTGACTTGATGATGATCTACATGAATATACAATTATTATAGATGAATTTATTTCTATTCATGTATCTAAAAATTTTAATGGAAGTTTAAATCCATGTATTAACAATTAATTCTTATATATCAAATGTAGTATAAAAATGTTTCTCATTTGTAGTATTTCATCATCATAAAAAATTGAATCATAAAAGTTGAGTTTTGAAAGTACAATTTTATTTTCTTTAGTTTGTTTGAAACTCATCAAATCTTTCCAACAAATTGATATCAAATATTACTTTTATAGCACTAATAAAGTATTTCAAAATAACGTGCAATGCACGTTCAATTCTGACTAGTTTGAAACAAAATTAAGCTTATTTCCATTATTGAAGGAAATGAATCATCAATTTGAGCTCAATATATGGTGTGTTTGACACCAATTTTTTGAAGATAAAAATTATTAGAATAGTGATTGATGAGAGAATGTGTGGTGGAAAAGTTATAAAAAGTTTTAGATTTGTGTGTAATATTATTTTATTGGAAGAATGTATGGTTGAAATGAAGTAAGAGAAAAAAATGAGAGTGAGAATAAGAATAAGATAGAGAATAGGTGTCAAACGTGGACTGACTTAAAATTTTTGGAACAATGAATAACGATGTAGTTCACTCCCTCTCACACACCACATGAACAAGACCATTTAGCTTTACCTTCTCAAAACAGTTCTATTGAAGCCAATATAAATTAAATTTTAATGCTACTATTATGAGTTGAAATTTAATGATATCATTGTTTTTAAAAATTTAATGATGTAATTCGATGTTATGTCTATCAATTTTAGAACGTTACCTAGGCCCTGTGTGGTACACATTATTTTTTTATTATCATTCTTTCAAAAAAATGTGTTACAAACATACTCTAAGTTTTTTTTTACTAGCAGAATTCATAAAAAATAATGTCAACATTGTAAAATAGTGCAGACCAACTTGTGCTATTTATGTCAGTTTCTCTAGAAAATGGATATATATCCATCATGAGATCCGAACCCGAACAATTCGGTTTGAATCAAAACCCGGTTACAAAACTCTAGTGTTCACCGACTCAACTAGGGCTGACCCGTCATTTCAGACGCTGACTTGGGGGCATTCCTGGAAAAAAAAAATCCGCGAAATTAATATAGAAAGGGGCTATGTTAATTATGAAACAAATTCGTCGGGAGCAGTAAGGACCTGAAAATCCGTAAGTTTTCTTCTAACATGATTTTTTTTTGTCATTTAATCTCAAAAATATGTATATACGTTTGAATTTTTATTATAGGATCTACACTTTTTCTCTGAAATTGTTGTTTTAATTTCGGATAACACCATAGCTTTTGATTGGATTTTTGGTATAAATTTTAGGGATTTGGATCAGTCTCTATCCATTTATTTCTTCTTGCTCCTACTACTATAATCATGTTGAATATTTTGTAGAGTCTTTGTTTCTTAATTTCTGTTTCAATTGGGTCCGGTAGTATTCATATCATTGTGATGCAAAACTCGATCTAGAAACCTCGGTACTAATATTAGCTTGTTTTTAGCGTAAGTAACATTATCGGCATTATGATTTCTGTTATTCTTAGCGTTACTGTGGACTTATTGTGTATGAAAGATTGAAAGTGTGCACTTATTTATTTTCTTTCAAGTGTTTATTTGAAAAAGCTACTTAATTTTTATTGTGCATTTGATGTAACAAGCATGTATGTTTTCTTGGATCAATGTAATCAGGACGGCTGTCAATTGCTCAGTTTGATTTTGGAATGTCTGGGGACTATCAAATTCCTGAAACGAAGAAGTAAGTTATTTAATGCTTTGCCTGCTGTTTTTTGCCAGAATCTTGTAATCTTAATAATGACCGTTATATTTCTTTATAAGTGTAAATGTAATCATAGAGTTGAAAGAATTGAAAACGAGGAACTTTCTCGAAGACTTGTTTAATCACTTATTGCTGAATCTATTGCATGAAAAAGTACATTTGATTTATTCAAGCCAAGGTCGCCTAGAAATTTGATGAGTTGTGCACGCGCTCGTGTTTGTTATTTTTCCCGCTTAATCAACGCTTGGACCATGGTTCACCTTTTTCAATTTTATCATCTGGGGAAGATTTGTGCATGAGTAAGCTGTGGTTATGGTGTACTGCATTTACTTCTCTTCCCAATTACTTTTTCAGGGAATTAATGGACTGTCCTAGTATGTTGTCTTTTACATCTTTTTGATGCAATATGTTATGATAATATTTCTTACTTGTATTATAATAACTTGCTTGCTATGAAGTTTTACAGTTGTCATCAAAATAATACTGACACGAGCAATTTAATTGAGGTTTCAGGGCACAAGTGAAATGGGACGAAGCTAATCTGGGGGAAATTGAGGCGAATAAACCCGTAAGGCAGAAAATAACTGAACCAAAGACACCATATCATCCCATGATTGACGATGATGGTATGCTTATCGAGTTTCTTTCTCATGGCTATATATTTGTTTTGATTGTAGAGGACTGATTTTTTAATCAATTATAATAAAATCTTTTTAATCCACTAGAATTTTCTGCTGAGTTTTGCTCTTCATCCTCCAGAACACTGATGTCTAGGTCCTACTTGTTTCAACTCATGCCGGTATTTTATTGTTATAGTTCGTAAATCTTTATTGGATCATGCATGAGCTTCCTTTCAAGAACTCTGCCTAATTTGTCAATTTCCTGTGTTCATAAAGTGATTTTTTCTGGACATCCGAGTGTGGGGAATCTGGATTTTATCTCTGCTGCTAACTCTTACTTGGTATCAAAGGATAAAAATAATTAAAATTCTTGAGGAACGTAGTAAATTTATGATTTTTAATACCGTTGACAACATTTGGGACTGATCTTAAATGCTGTAATTATTTTGAGTACCGTGCCTTGGATTTAATTCTAATTTGGTGATGCCAGTGAAATGGAAACCGTCATGGCCATTCTAGGATAAATTCAATAAATTCCAATAAGTTCAGAGTTTTTCAAGGAGAAAGGTTCTTCCCAACTCCCAAGATTAGGAGTAATAAATTTTCTGGGGACTGCCTCATGTTTACAAATATAGATTCTTGAGGTGCTACCTTGGAAAGGTGATTGAAGTACTTTGTGTAGCGAGTCTACCCAAATCCTATGTTTGCATGGAAAACCTAACCAAATGCAGAGGGGAAACTTTGCATTTATGTTTGTTTATCCTGTGTCTCTTACTCTGAATTGGTCTTGTACCATACTTATCTGTGTTGCCTGAATTCATGACGGGGTTGGTTTTACAGCATTTAACCGATCTGTACTGATCTTGTTACTCTTTTTCCTTTCTGTTTATTATTTTTATTTTATTTTTTGTGTGTGTTATGCATTGCTGTATTTATTATGGCTCTTTGATTTTTGGGCCAGAAATCCTTGCACTACTTAAATTTAGATGTCTGCTTTCTTGTTAGACTACCTAGCACCAATTCTCACAGCCACGAGGTGGTGAATATTGCATAGAATTATACTATAGCAAGTTACTTTTGGTTGATGAAATGTTGCTGACATAGGATGCAATAGGACAATTGTAGGAGAAAGGGAAAGGGAAGAGGAGAAGAGAAAGGAGGGGGGAAATAGAAGAAGAGGGGAAGGTAGAAGGAGGGAGATAGAAAGGGGAGAAGAACTAGAGAGATGGAAGAGAAGTTGGGGAGAAAATATCAATCTTTATTTCATTTCGAAATTTGTCTCCGTTACATCGCATGAGCCCCTTTATGTAGGGTGTAAACTAATCTTAATTGAAGTAGGAAAGTATATTAAAATCAATCCTTAATTACCTTTTCCGAAATTAAATATCAAAATTGGAAACTATATATAAAAATATCCTTCTAATATTCCATCAGTTGCATCCCCCAATAAGTTTCTTAAGATAATGGTATTGAGTATTGACATTTGTTGAGTTGATAATGATGTCTCTCTTTGTTTTACTTCTTGATTGGTCCTTTCACTAGTTGATGGGGCGAAAATCCACTTGTTAGACTTGCTGTTTGAGGTCCAATTTAAAGAAAATGTCTTGAAAGGGAACTAATTCTACAGCTTCAATTTTCACAAATCTTATTCCTGAGTTTCGAAATTTGATGAATGTAGGATCATTATCTCCTATTAGGGTAAGTTTTGAGGACAACTTTGGAGATTCAACGCATGCAGATGCTATACGTTCGGCGTTGAATGATGTGGCTTCTTCAAGCAAAAATAACCCTCGTTGCTCAGGCTGGACATCATCTGAAGAAGAGGATGCAATGGATCAAGAAGAAGAAGGTTGTCTCTTATCACATTTTCACTAGTTCTAAATATGCAGAAATCTTGCCTGGAGTGCATATTATTAGTTTTCACTTAACTTAATTGTCATAATTGTATCAGGTTCACCTGTGTTTTTGTTTGATCAGATGAATTGTTTGATGTTTTAAAGGTTATGCTTGTTGAAGGGTTTTTGTATAGTTATTTGTGTTCCATTGCATCACATACTTAGCCCGTTTGAGCCCCATTTTTTCTTAAGAATGCATTTTGGAATAGTAGATTGATGGAGAATATGTGCTTGAAAAGTAAGGTTTTGGATTTGTGTGTAATATTATTACATTGAAGAATGGGGTTGAAAAGAAGTGAGAGAAGAATGTATTTTGGAAATAATGTGGGTCAAACTTGTTCTCAAGATTTATTTTATTTATTATTATTATTATTATTATTATTATTTGGTCTAAATTCAGAAAATAACGAAGTAAATGATATGTGAACTTTAATACAGAGCATCTTTGGCTAAGCTTAAAAACTATACTTAAGTTCTAAAAGGAGTAATGTTTTATGGTTCAAAGTTGGGAATAACTAAGCTGCATATTTTTTTTTAAGAGTTACGATCAAACTAAGCAACTTTTGAACTTAAAAGTAACTTCTCCTTTTTAGGCCAAGCATGCTTGTCCCTCCACCTCATCTTTTAAACTGTAATGCTATGTGATTTTGATGGTTTGTTAACTGGGGTTATCACCATAATCTAACTCATTAAATGCAGTTCTATCAGATTCTAATTCCGAGAGGCAAAGGAGCTTCAGGGAGCACCGTAGAGCTCATTATGACGAGTTCCGTCAAGTTAAAGAACATCGTAGAAAGGGCTCTTTCGTCGAAGACAAGCACGAGAACTGGACCGAGGACAGAAGGTGTGATTCATCTTCTTTAACTGATGGGGTTAAAGACATTGAAATTAAGGAATCCACACCGCCAGCTAATGGATCTTAAATCCAATTACAAACAAAAATAAATTGTACTGTGTCATTTTCGTTATGTAGTTTTGTTGCTATATGTTGGTGGTGGTATGAGAGGACTTGAACTTTTGTGCTTTTTTGACATTCAGCTTTGCAACATGTACATAGCACAAGTGCGCAACACAGGGTTTATCATTTCTTTCTGGAAAGATATTTCCTCTCTTAGGTCTCTGTTTCCAGTTTAGACTTGCTTGTATTAAAAGTTGTTCATCCTCGAGGCATGCATACACATTTCTCTTTATTGCATGTTAGGTAATAATATTAAATGGCAGACATGCGCGCGGAGTAATCTTATATTTCTGTATAATACCTTATTGGATGCTAACCAGTTTACTGTTCAAACCTAGAATAAAGATTGGGAATCATTCATAATGAATGTGGGAGCTATTGCAGACGGTTCTTCCTGATCGTCTCAAAAACAAGATAAGAATAAAAGAAAGGTCCTAAATATGGTGACCGTCAAGACATCACACTCCACTTTGCTTATCTGCGTGCCCAATCCTCGTGCAGACGAACCGTTCAACAACGTGCTTCACGTGTACAGCCTGCACAACCCATAATGATTCTTAATGACAGCTTTGTTGGAAAATAGTTGAGGAAAATTGATTTTTATCAATCTTTGACCATTTATTTGGACGGGTCTTGCTACTCGAATTTTGCGAGAAATGATTTTAACACATTCTACTAGTTGAGGAGATGAATTTGGTATATTTGGAAGTCAAAAACTATTTCTAGATGAGAGAAATTAATGGATGAAGTCAGATTGAAAATCATGAATTTTTGAATAAAATGAAAAAGTTGATGCATAAAATTGCTGCTGGAGCTGCAGCTTTGTGTCAAATGAGCGGCGGTGTCCTTGCTTTTAGCACTCGAGCGACCAAGTCAGCTGCCAGCTAGCACCAAAGTACCTGTGCAACTTTTTGAGACTAAGTTGATTTTTGGATTGTCACTTTGAGTGCACTTCCTCAAACTCTGTAAAGTGGATTACTATGTGTTGGTTTCATTCACTTTAATCCTATGCAGTCATAGCAAATCATATAACATCAAAATTTTGTTGAAATTTTGCATTAAAATTAGGCTTTCATTTTCATAAAGAGCAGAGTTCAAAACACTTTTTGGTTCGTCGTTTCAAGTGATTTAAAGTGCTACAATCACTTGAAATTGATTGTTGTATCTTGAAAGATGATTGCCATTTACCATAGGCACATGTGCAAGGCAAATTCATCTTTTAGGGCTAAGAGTTTCAACTCTTACCTCGATCATTTGCATTTCATTCCTTCGGTATAAGTTTAGTCCAACTTACCATATGAATTTGGGTAGGTTTTCGTAGTATAATTACTACGATAAAGAAATCACTTTGTGTATTTACAAACAACAATCCAAAGACGAATTTTCAAGTGATTCCTTTACCAATTTCATTTATACTTGGTTATACTGAATTTCGTTTTCTATTTAACTTTTCTACTCTTTCTTGGGATTAGACTTGGTTTGGTTTATCTTCTGTTTGTGTAACAAAACTAACTACCGTTAATAATGATACAACTGGTGTACTCCGATCGTTGTTCCATCGGTTACTCCGGTTGACATGCCTCTGATCACTTTAGATGTTGCTCTTCCAATTTCAATTCCCCTACTATTCATCCAACCTCCGTTTCACTTGGAGAAAAATCGAAAAAATTTAGTGGGGTTGACTTCAAAAATTGGCAACAAAAGATTTTTTTTTATCTGACAATCCTTAATTTGGCGAAATTTCTAAATGAGAATGCTTATGCTGTGCAAGAAGTGAAAAATAATAGGGCATCATTAATAATATTAGATGCTTGGAAACATTCAGGCTTTCTATGCAAAACTTACATTCTGAATGTCTTCGACAACATGCTATGCAACGTGTATAGTTTCATACAGTCTGCAAAGGAAATTTGGGAATACTTGGAGAGGAAATATAAGATTGGAGATGTTGAAACAAGAAGTTCATCATCGGGAAATTCTTGGATTACAATATGATAGATTCCAAGATGGTTATTAGTCAAGTACAAGAATTGCAGGTTCTTTTCCATGACATTCACACCCACAACATGTCTCTAAGTGAGTCCTTTCAAGTGGCTAAAATCATAGAGAAGGACTTCAAGAGCTATCTCAAACACAAGCGCAATGAGATGAATATTGAAGAACTCATCGTCCGATTGAGAATTGAAGAAGACATTAGAAAGTTGAACGAGCGAAATGTAAGCAAAGGGAAGTGTGGTGGAAACAAACGATAAGAATAAAAAGAGGAAACATTTGATGGAATCCTTTGAGCAAAGACACAGCAATAATGCAAAGAAATTCAAGGCAATTGCTACAACTGTGGAAATGTCAGATATCACTCCAACGAATGTCGTAAACCAAAGAAGCAAGCCCAAACGAATATCACCGTATGTGATTCATTATCTGATGGAATATCATATATTAACTTGTTAGCAGTTGTTTCAGAATGCAACAACATTGGAAATTTCTTGTAATGGTGGGCGGGTGCTACTTACCACATTTGTGATGATAAGGTAACATTCTCATCATATAATCTAATGAATGGTGAGAAATTGTTCATGGAAAACTCTTCAAGTTCGAAGGTTGATGGACAATGCAAAATTGTATTGAAGATGACATCGGGCAATAAACTCACCCTTAACAATGTACTTCATGTGCCGGACATTCACAAGAACTTGGTTTAAGGTTCTTTACTTAACAAGAATAACTTCAAACTATTCTTTGTGTCATATAAGTTTTATACTTACCAAAAATAACATTCATGTAGGCAAGGGCTATGCAAGTGATGGACTATTTAAAATGAATGTCCTCAATATTGTACAGAATAATACGAAGAATAAAATATCTTCTTCTACTTATTTTTTTAGTCGTCTAATTCATAGCATCATAGATTAGGACACGCAAACTTTAATTTCATGCACAAGCTAATGAATTTAAGTTCACTACCATCTATGCTTTTTAATACTAATGGTAAATATGAGATGTGTGTAGAGGCTAAGTTAGCCAAACCACAGTTTCATTCCATTGAAAGAAACACGACGCCTTTAAAATTAATTCACAATGATACACTTGACTTAAAATCTGTATAAACTAAAGGTGGTAAAAAATATTTTATTACATTCATTGATGATTGTACAAAATACTGATGTATATACTTGTTGAAAAAAAAAATGAAGCATTGGAAGTATTGAAATACTACAAGAATGAAGTTGAGAATCAACTTGAAAAATGAATTAAAATGATTTGTAGTGATCGAGGTGGAGAATATGTGGCACCGTTTGAAGAATTCAATTCAGAATTTGAAATTGCTCATCAAACAACGACACAACACTCACCTCAACCAAACGGTGTTGCTAAACGCAAAAATTGAACTCTTAAAGAAATGATAAATGCAATGTTAATAAGTTCAGGCTTACCTCAAAACTTGTGGGAGAAGCTATACTTTTGGCAAATTATATCCTTAATAAAATACTATACAAAACAAGGTTGAAACACCCCACGAGTTATGAAAATGTCGAAAACCTTCATACAAATACTTAAAAGAGTGGGGATGCTTAGGAAAAATATATATACCTAAACCTGAACAGGTTAGGATTGGAAAAAAATAATAGATTGCATCTTTATTGAATATACAGACAACAATAGTGCATATCGATTTCTGCTTCGTAAATCAGAAATACTTGATGTACATGAAGTTATTATAATTGGATCAAGAAATTCTGTATTTTTGAAGACAACTTTCCTTATAAGAGAGAAGAAATAAGTTCACAAAAGCAAACTTACGATACTACAAATGAAAATCATCAAGAAGATGAAAAACCAAGGTGCAATAAGAGGCTAAAGACTAATAAGACATTTGACCCAGATTTTCTAACATATTTGCTAGAAAACAATCCAATGACATTCATTGAAGCAATGTCCACTCTCAAATCACCTTATTGGAAAGAAGTTGTCAACAATGAAATTGAATCCATTATGAAAAATCATACTTGGGAATTGATTGATCTTCCACCAGAAAATAAAGCTCTAGGCTATAAATGGATCTTAAAAAAAAAAAAAAAAGTTGAAGTCTGATGGATCAATTGACAAGTACAAGGCTCGATTAGTCGTCAAAGAGTTCAAAAAAAGAGAAGGTCTAGATTATTTCGATACATATTCACCTGTTACAAGGATCAAGTCTATTTGAGTATTGATGGCAATCGCGGCACGTAATCTTGAAATACATTAAATAGACGTTAAAACAAAAATCAAAGCAATGACATGAAAATTTTGACAAAACTATATTGTCACTTCAAAATTAATGAATATGACAAATGTGTCTACATCCGAAGCACACCTAATGAATATTTGATTATGTGTTTATATGTTGATGATCTACTAATTATGAGTAATAACTCGAAAGTTATTACTATAACCAAGAAAATGTTGATAAAACACTTCAATATGAAAGATATTGGAGTTGTTGATGTCATACTAGGGATTAAAATCTCCAAGACACTTGAAGGATTGTCAGTCTCAATCGCATTATATTGAAGCCATACTTAGGAAATTTAATGCGTAAGATGATAATTTGGTTAAAACACTAGTATATCTAAGTGTACACTTAGCCAAAAATACCCGTGAACCCGTATCTCAATTGGAATATTCACGTGTTATAGGAAGTTTAATATATATTACAAACTATATACATCCGGACATAGTATATGTAGTCAACAAGTTAAGTAGATTTACAAGTAATCCAGAAATGACAATTGGAAGGCATTAACAAGTTCTTAAATACTTAAAACACATGATAAATTATCGATTACATTATTCTAGATATCCTACGGTGTTAGAAGGACATATGGATGCGAATTGAATATCTGACACAAAGGATTCAAAGTCGATAAGTGGTTATATTTTTACCATTGGAGGAGGATCTGTTTCCTGAAAATCCTCTAAACAAAC